GCATGTGATTGCGTTTTCTGTAAACCTATAATAATACGAATTCCAATTTTTCTAATTAAAAACCTATAGCTGTTTTTCTGTCTACATCAAGTACTTTCTAATAATTTCAAAACCTGAAAGACCGTAAAAAATACTTGTTTATTATTATTTTATAAATATTTTATCTCTTCTTGTTAGTGCCATTACATTTACATTTCTCTTACTTTGATCATGTCGGCTTTTTTATTGCATTGGAAATTATTGTAAGGCATGCATTTTACTGCTTTACGTAGGGTAGAAGTACCAATTCATATCACTTCACACGCATTTGTATCAGATTGAATTTTATTGCGAAACTTAGAATTTATTGGCTTCAGAATATTTTTAGATAAGATTTTATTTGTAATAAAAATACTTATTTAAATACATTTTTACTTGTACATCACCGCCTCTATACCCTACGACATAAGAGCTGTTTTCGTAGTTCAAATGGATGTAAATAGTGGAAATGAGTGTGTCAACGCGGCTGCTTCCTTTTATCGATCAAATTATTCGATGTATGTGATCGTATCGCGATCATTTTCTCACCATTAAAAACTCGAAAACTATACACGTTTTGTCGTGTAACTCGACACCTCAGGTGTTTCACGTAAGGCTGGAGGCACAACCAGCTTTTTTTGTTAACAATTAAATGAATTTTGAAAACCGTAATTGGTTTTATACATACGTACTTATACCTATTTATAATGATTTGACTGCACGGTTGGCGTAGTTGCTTGGCAACTGGCTGCTGTACAACATGTCGCGGGTTCGGTTACCGATTTGTGTGTTTGTAAACGTACCCACATCATAGAAGGAAATCATAGTGTGAAGGTCACATAATCATCTGTTTAATTATTTTGCTACAGCAGACCTGGATTTGTAGTGGAAAAATAGACGTTATTTTAAAGAATTTAAAGATTAATTAATAATTCTAATACAACAACCTTACATACATAGGTACTAGTAATGTATAATAATCCTTCCAACTTATAAATTAATTTCACATACTTGAATGTGGGTCAAGGAGAACTGACTACAACGGTTTGCTCCTTCAATGCTAAACTGGAGATTAATGTACTGATTGTCATTCCAGACTGTTAGGGAGATTACCGAGGGCAATAAATTATTTGCTGATGATTGTCATCCACAATGTGGACTGACTAAAGGGCCTCAGTAAAATAAATTATTCTTTAAGAATTTGGTTTTAAATCGAGAATCTTGATGTTTAAGGTTAACTTTATATTAATTCATAACAAATCTAAGCAAAGGTCACTTTTCATAGAAAGAAGAGAACTTATAGTTTTGATTAATAAATATTAAAAAAACCAAAATCTCAGTTCCACATAAAATGGTAAGTTCGGGTTACTTTGGCCCTGCGGGATAACTTTGATCCAAACCCTTTAACCAATAATAACTGAGAAACAAACATATATTCGTTTTTTATTGGTTCGAAAATTTGGATCAAAGTAGTCAACAAAACGAAAACAAAAAATATTTATTCTACCACCTTACAACAACAACACAATGCTGTGGTTGGTTCACGCTGGTTTTCTACCAGCGTGAAACAACCACAGCATTGTGTTTCGAGCCGTGTGAGTGAGATTACCGGAGGCACAATCCCCAATCCCCAATCCCCCAAAAATATTCAAATCCCTGATCCGCCAAAGGTCGGCAACCCACTCATAACTCCACCATTGTTGCGGGTGTCCACGAGCGACGATGATTGCTTACCATCAGGTAATCCGTCCGCTCGTTTGCCATCCAATTACATAAGGAAAAAATCCCTCTAAAATTCTCTGAGTGTGTCACAAAAGAGGAGACACAACAAATAGTCTCGATAGTAATCGGTGGTTGGGAGTGTAAATATCGTCGCGATGCGTGCGATAACGCGCGGCTACCGTCCGTTTTATGTACGACTTGTGATCGAGATAATAATACAATTTATACGTACGGCTTCGGCTACTTGAGATGTTTTACGTGATTATACGGGAGACGCGACACTCCGCACTTATGAGAATAGTGAACTGTTCATTTTCTGTTTCTTCGAATAAATATTAGTGTTCTTACAAAGTCGAATCAACTTAATATTATAACAAAAACATGTTTGTGAAAATGATTGTAACAGAGTAACCATGGAGTTTCTTGTTCCTTGTTCTCCATCGGTATCTACACTTTGGATTGAATAAATAGCTTAGTTTAGAGGACTGACCGACAGGCTGACACTTTTTGTCTTTAAGCTTTGTTTGAAATAAATGAATTTTGAGTTTTTGCCTGCGGTAGAAAAATAATGATTATTTAAAATTGTTATTTTGGTAGGTTCGATATTCGATATAAGTAAATGTTTTGTCTCTTACAGTTCCCTGTCTCCATCCAATGAAATATGTTGAAGGAAGATTATTAAAAAGCGCAATAAAATCTGCAGAAGAAGTCGTGTTAGCTTTTCTATAGTAAATCTATACATTGTATATGATATACAAGAACATTTAAAGCAAGAATAGTATTGGTGCCTAGTTACACCGTTACACTAAATTAATTGACGTGCAGTTAATACAAATCTTCTACGAAAACCGACGTAAAAGCGCCAAACACTAGATAATAAAACAAACAAATGCATATATAAATCGCATTGAAAACCTAAAAAAAAACCTATCGAATAAATCCTCATTTAATTATGTGTGGGAAAACTAGCGAACAGGCGAAACAGTGAACAATAAATTTCTTAACAATTTATAAACTAAACGAAACAAATGAAGCGTAGATTGCCTGTCTGCGGATCCGATGTTAATCTTTGACGCGTAACCCGTTGAAAAATTTATATGTTGATAGCCAAATGAAAATAGACATTTGATATACGAGTAGTCAGTGTACGCAAACACAATTCTCTTTCAAATTTATGAATAACTACTGGATATATTGAAGTCAATGGAAACATTGTAAATTGTAATAAACCATCGGAGAAGAGTTAGTGTTTCTCGTAAAATATTAGTTTTATAGACGTGTTATAACGAAATATGTTTCGGCGGAAACGTAAACGGGGGTAAAAATAATGGTTTATCGTTTCTTTATAATAATTTATATCGTCCGTTAGTGGTGTTATGGAGATGCATTCGGTTTATTGAAGAGGGTTCTCTTTGGATTTGGTTTATATGTTATTTTTAAACAAGTCTTATACATAGACTATAGAAGAGGCTATAGGATACAGTAAAGAGGTTTAATATCATTTAAGGTGTAGAAGATTCGTGTTAAATGTCATGTATTACACAATATGAATAAATGCAAGCAACAAAGTATCAAAATCCCATCCAAGAAGTATCTATCTATTAAATAAATTATGTTTATTCCCTATCAATTGACATTCTATTTGTGTACTCATGTAATGGGCTTCCTTTTACATAAAATTATGCACTTTAATAAACATAAATTTATATAAGTATAAATTTTATAGTTTTTAGCAAGAAATAATACACGTAATTTGTAATTACGTGTATTATTTAAAGCTGGTATGTTTGTCACATAATTTTAGTTTTTTTTATTTTTAATGAGCTGGCATTTGGCGGCCTACGACGAAGAACGTGTACCCTGATCCCTGGAGTCTTGCAGATACCTAGGTTCAGGAAAGACTTCGGCTAAGAAATACACTTAATATTGTTAATTAGGAGGAGTGGTGGCCCCGAGGTTAAGACACCCAGGCTTCTCATGCATGAGGGTTCGAAACCTGGCAAGTACCAATGTGACTTTTTCCGAGTTATAGGTATGTACTTTCTATGATTATAAAGAGGTAAAATTTGTTAGTTTGCAAATTTGTAAGTTTGTATCGTCGTCAAGAAATCTGGACTTATAATCTATACTAATATTATAAAGCTGAAGAGTTTGTTTGTTTGTTTGTTTGTTTGTTTGAACGCGCTAATCTCCGAAACTACTGGTTCGAATTGAACAATTCTTTTTGTGTTGGATAGTCCAGTTATCGAGGAAGGCTATAGGCTATATAACATCACGCTACGATAGGATCCAATAGGAGCAAAGATATAGTGGTAAATGTGTAAAAAACTGGAGAAATTATTTCATCTTTGAAGCCTTCCGTTGCGTGCGCCGTGAAAACGGTTCAAGATACACAAAAAATATGTTTTAAAGAATAATAGCTCTTTTAATGATCTAAAAAACAGTCCGCGACAGTATATGTCTATCTTTTAAGATTAACTCACAAAAACCGTTTTTATGGTACCTAATTTGGTCGAAATAATTTGTTTAAGTTGTATCAACATAATAATATTAATCTTTATTCAAATAAATATGTTGTTGGTTAAGAGTACTTCATTGTGAATATAATTGTCTTTGACATAACTTAATTTCAACAAAAAACTTTAAAGATTACAATCCTAATCCTAACTTCCTAACTAATATTATAAATGCGAAAGTAACTCTGTCTGTCTGTCAGTCTGTTACGCTTTCCCGCTTAAACCTCGCAACCGATTTTAATGAAATTTGGTACAGACAATCTTTAGACCCTAAGACAGAACATAGACATAATACTTTTTTTTCGAAAAACAGGGATAAAGGGGTTGAAATAGGGGTTAAAAGTTTGTATGGGATTTCTTAATTTTTAAAGATAAAACCATAAAACTTAATATTTAAGCACTTCATAAGAAAATACGAAATATTTGTTCTAGCATTTTTGAAATTTCGACCAGCTAGGGGGTGATATAAGGGTTGAAAGTTTATATGCAATTTCGTCAAATATCACGTCATAAGAAACAAAAAATCGTTTGTACTAGCATTTTTATCAGTGTGATATGTAGTGATATAGGGGATGAATTGAAGATAAGACCCGGAACGGATTCGGAACGGGATCTACAAAGCCAACCTTTATGTAGGTAGATATACGAAATCTTAACTATTGAACCTAGGAACATGTAATTTAGAAGGGTTTTGGGTGTATCAAGTTACAAAATAGTTCACTTTCGAAGTATAAATTCCTTATAATGAACACTCTGCATCGACGTCGCTGCCGTCGGCGTCGCGCACATTCGGTGCTGTCGTGTGGTGGGGAAGCGCACGAATCTAACAACCTATGTCTACCCGAAAGGACAGACACGTGAGGACAGAGGTCGTTGTCGGGTGCGGTAAGAGAAATTTGCGCTTTAGAGAATTACATTTTTCGATCCAGTAAAATTATTTTATTGTTTCGTCTAACTTTTTAATAAGTGTTTTTTATTAATTAGATCCTGTACATAAATTTTGCACATACTTATATTTCTTTTAGTTCATAGTTACAACGTTACAAGTAGGTAAGATAGTTTCCGTTACTTTAAATAAATACGATTTGCTTTTATTTCCTTTTTTATTCAATTAATCTAATAGCATCCTACTTTTTTGCATTGGTTGTAAATAAGTACTTATCCAAGTAGGTGCAGTAGGTAGGGTGAACAAAGGTTTTTTAATATAATAAATCTTAATCTGTACATCTGCTTTGTTCGATTCGTTTCATTTTTGTTGTTCTACGATGCCTCGCAAACGAAAGTCCAATTTAGCTAAAAGCTTTAGCAGAGCTCGGGCTGCTAAACTTGCCAGATCACTGGAATGAGACTTCTCGACAGACCCAAGCTCGCCAAGCCATTGATGCCGAGCGTCACGCGGCTCAAAGAGCTGCCGAGACCTCTCAACAGTCCCAAGCTCGCCAAATCATTGATGCCGAGCGTCACGCGGATCAAAGAGCTGCTGAGACTTCTCAACACACCCAAGCTCGCCAAATCTTAGATGCTGAGCATCAAGCTTCGTACATAGCCGGAGAGACCTCCGAAGAAACACGTAGACGACGAGCGGCAAAGGAGACGTACGTTTACGATGAATACGTGGGAGGCATTTGCCGATGCTGCTTTTAATTATGATCTGTTACTTGATTACTTTAATCATCGATTAGTCCTCATAGATAGAATGGCCAATAAATGCAGACACTGTGAGGCACTCAAGTGGAAGGAAGAGAGCCTAGGTATGTGCTGTTCTGGAGGCAAAGTATCAATACCAACGCTTGGTGATCCCGAGGAGCAACGACAGAAGAAAGGACAGCAATGAATCTCGGCGATTTTTCCTGTCATCATGCCTGGATTTTCACCGACATTTACGGTACAAGGGCAAGTTTATCATAGGATCTTTGCTTTCCACAAACAATGATCAACCAAAATTTCTACAGATTTATTTTATGGGAGACGAAAACAGCGAGGTTGACCGTTGACGTCAAAATATTGAAGGAGATGAGAGGGACATTGTTTTAAAAATTCAAAGAATGTTGCACGAACATAATAACCTCATTAACACCTTCAAAACAGCCTTAGAAAAAATGCCACGGGAAAATCACAAATTAGTAATACTCGCAGATCGTACGCCAAGCGGGGAACATGAAAGACGTTATAATGCACCCTTATTAAACGAAGTCGCTGCCATGGTGTGTGGTGAACAGTTCGCATCGCGCGATATTGTTTTTCAAACCCATGATAACACATTGATCAGGGTGTCCGACACACACAAGTTTTATGACGCACTACAATACCCGCTTATGTTTAGCAATGAGCCAGAGGGGTACCGTTTTCAAATTCCACAAGAAGTGTGGAATTTGAAAATGGTACTCCTCCTGGCCGGCTCCGGTAAGAGTCTCTTAGACATAAGGGACCAGGATTGACAAAAACTAATATGACGCGGGCGAAGCCGCGGGTGGAAGCTAGTTTCTAATTATAAGTTTGTAATCGCCAAACCGCATTGAGCGCAAGCGTGGTGATTAATGCTCAAACCATCTCCGTGTGAGAAGAGGCCTTTGCTCAGCAGTGGGCACTTATTGGCTGGTGATGAGATAATGGTTAAGGATACAAAAGCTTTGCAAGAAAACGCCAACACATTGGACGATTTGACATTGAAAGAAATTTTAACTTTTGTTTATATTTATATTATTTGCTGATTTCTTTTAATCAACGCATCGTCTGACGTAGTCCATTAGATTTGATTTCTACAGTATATTTGAATGTCTGTCAGTTTTACGATAACTGCGAGAAGAAACAGCTGCCAATCATAATTAATTTATAAAAATATTATTTTAATACAATTAGAATTTGTTATGACAATTCATTTGAAGCGATGGCGCCAAGATTCCTAACCTGTGACGTTTGTAAAAGGAAGTGTATGTATAAATAATATAGTGAGTCAAGCTATTTTGGTCCTTAGAACCGACGGATTCAAAATGCTTTCTGAAAGTTTCGATACTACTGATTTTTCACTCTTTTAAATCTAGACAATTTGGACTTGATTTAAGGCTAATGCAAGTAATAAAAACGAAAAAAAATATTTTGTGCTTTTTTTTTATTCTGTTGTGTGTTGTTGCTCAGTTTTCTTTTGAGCTCTGAGAAAATCTTGACATATTAATAATAAATAATTATTTGATAGTAAATGTAAGTTTAAACATTTATAATACTAACTTGAAAAGTTATGATTCGAAACTAAGGAATGTTTGTTAATTTTCCTTAAAGAAACTAACTTCGTCTGCAATAGGGGAATTTTTAATTAATATTACTTTTAAGAACATAAAATTCTGTAATTAAATATTAACATGCACTTTCTTGATCATATTTGCCTACATTCTCTTATTAAGTAAGTACGTAATAATCGTAAAATAATATGCTGTTTATTAGCTGTAAATAAATTAATGTCAGCGAGTCATGCTTAGGCACGAATGGCTCGACCGGAGTGATAGTATCTCGGCTTTCCTTCTTTTACGCCTCCTTTTTTATGTTATAGGTCGGCAAATAAGGTAGGTCGGCGATGGATTACCTGATGGTAAGCGATCAGTGCCATCCATGAAAACCTGCAGCTACAGAGAAGCTACTTTAGGGATTAGGAATTTGGAGATTTTGGATTGGGGGAGGAGAAAGATTGGGCCTCCGGTAATTAAACACACACGGCGAAACATGCTGTGGTTGTTTCACGCCACGTGGTTACTGGAAGCCAAGATTTTGCCGTCCCTAGTTCTCAAATCCTTGACTTTCAACGCACTTGAAACTCTTCAGATGCGGGTGTCGATTGGCGGACTCGATTTGCTTACCGTTGGAAATCGGATAGGGATGCTCCCTTTTCCGCACTTTACCATAAAAATGAAAACATAGCGACACAGTCTCTTTGCATATAAAGTTTAACTTCAACTTCGGATATTAAGAAGGTATTATAATATTGAAAAAATAATAAAACTAAACCTAATTGAAATTGAAGTAATAACTAAATAAATTACAGAAGACATGAGGCAGTAACTCATGTATGTATAGATTTTCACATTTCATTGTTTTTCTTTTAAAATTGTGCTTATTTACTTGAATTGGATTTTTGGTGCCATCAAAGAGCCGCTCCGGGTGTGAGGGAATGTCAGCAACCATATCAAAATATAAACAATCATCCTTACAATATCCTGGATTATCAACAAGCATCGTGATTAAATAAACACCTGAATACTTTAGCAATTAAATTCATAAACAACACCTTTATTTGTTTACAACTTACCTACGTGTTGGCATAAAAATGTGGCACTTCTAGACATTTCTGCTCACAATAATCTTCTTCAATAGTCCACAGACAGACAACGTGTTTATTTTACATACAATATTTATGGGACCAATTAAGAGCATAGCTTATTAACTACCAGACGAATTTGCGTTTTAAAATAACGGTCTACCAACGCGATGTATGTTTTCTTAAGTACTCTGTGACTATATTTAAATATTTAACAAAGAACCGCATCTGTTTTAAATTTGGAACGCGTTAAATTAGGCATTAGTGTTTCGACGTAAGGCGTGGATTATCTTGCCTGTGCTTAATCTTTGGTTATTTAATGTTAGTTTATTGATTTTAACAGTCGTACTGTTGGGCTTTTGACTTGGTGATGATGTGGGAATATAATATTAATTCTAAGGTCAATGTTCAAAGTGTGTGTTTTCGCTTATACATATTTCTTTTTTAATATTTTTCTAGAATATCTTTTTGTATGCATTTTTAAATATTACTATGAAGTACACTTGCAGAAATCTTGACAGCCTCAAGTCCAAGATGTATCTTTAAACCTTATAAAAAGCCCCATAGGATTTACCATACAAGACACAAAACCCCCCAAAATACCTTATTGACATAGAACCTTAAATAGAAAAACCTCTCCCCAACACTCCGCCTGCACTGACATATTACCTCTTCCGACAGCACCGGAAGTACGTCACGATCCTTCCATAGACTATCAGACACAATGTTGTTATCAGAAGGGGTGAAGTCGTAAACAGGGGATGTTTATGCCGGCGTTGACTTCCGGTGACGTCACTTTACTTTTTTGTGGGAGTAATAGTGGACTACTTACTTATATGTGTAAAGACTTAGCTGGTGGTCCTGAGTTATGAGGATGTCAGTTATAGGGTTTAATTGTTTGAATGCATTTTATGGGCTTCGTATTTGCAGTAATGTAGTATGAAGACAATTGAAGGCACTATAATAGACGCGAAAGATTGTAGACATGAATTGATGTTTGTTAATCTTTTACGTAAACGTTACTAAATAAATTAGAGTTATATTTGGTTTAAGTGTGGGAGGGCCATGCTTCGGCACGAATGGGTCGGCTCGACCGGAGTGATACCACGGCCTCACAGAAGACCGGCGTGAAACAACCACAGCGTTGTGTTTCGCCATGTGAGTGAGGTTACCGGAGGTCCAATCCTTCCCCGCCCCCAATGCCTCCTCAATCCCTAAATCTCCAAATCCCTAATCCCTAGTCGGAACGCACTCGTAACTCCTCCGTTGCGGGTGTCCGTCCGGTAAGGTAATCCGTCTGCTCGTTTGCCGACCAGTTACATAAAAAAAAAGAAAAAATATAATATTATTATATTAAATATAGCCTGGGAAAACTCATAAATAGAATACTTATTATAATATTATTCAGTAATTATAATTTTGAAGGTAGTCCTGTAATATTGTGAAATATGACCTAACTTTTTTGATGGTCTTTTTATTTTTATAGTGTTCCGATTTTTGAAGCTAAAATCCGTTTATCAACATTCCGCTGACCGCAAACATTTCACACATTAAAACGGAAACAATTACAACATCTAACTATCCAAGCACAGATTCGTAGTCATCAAAAACCAACTCATTATTTATTCGCATTTTTCAAAGCGGGCCGTAGCCCCCCTCCCCCCAGTGATGCCAGCACTTGTTTGTCAATCTGTCTCCGAACATTAAAGCCCGTCTTCATCTAATGGATTTAAACGTCCAAAATGTTTACACATCAAACTGTGAAGAACATTATTTTTTCTTTTACACATTAAATTAAAATTGTTTGACTTTGAACTGTAGGTATAAATTGATATGTTTATTTTGAGCGAGATAAACAGAGTGCTTCGAAGGGTTTTTCTTTTATTATTTTTGGTGTAAGTACATTGTGATGATGAGTGTACTTTTTTACTGGCGTTTGTGAGGAAATATTTTTCTGGCGACGTTTTGGGATGTCTATAGACTCGTGCTTAGAATAAATATAATGTATTATGACGTAACATTATTAATGAAATAAAAGAAACTAATGACTCCAAAATTTTTGATAACTGTAACAGAAACATAATAAATTGTCACGGCATTCTGAAAGACAGTCCTTTGTTGGACAGAAATCCTGTTAAACAAAAATAAATAAATATTAAAACTATTTTTTTCTTAACAGGATGGCAAATGCTCAGACGGATTAATCTGATAAGCAATCAGCGTCGAATATAGATATCCACAACACTCAACAAGTTAGAAGTGCTTTGCCAGCCAGGCCTCCAGTAAACCCACTCACGGCACCACAACTTAAGGCGCCTACTCCTATACCACTAAATACAGGATTAAAAAGAATAACTCCGTCAAGAGTGAAGCGATTAAGAAGAAGAATCTTTAAAATAGTTTGCCATTAAGTTCCCCTCCAATGTTATCATCAGAATTGGAATGGTCAGTAGTCACCGAATGGTGTAACTTGGATATCTTCAAGGCCCGAAGCAAAAGTTGCTTATGTGTAGACGTCCTCCATCGTA